AATTTGATCAACATGCTTTGATATTGATGACAGAAATACCCAGATCATTCATTACAGTACCTTCTGATATTTGTTACATAATAAAACAAACACAGCCGCTGCAAAACTGGCAACCGCACAACCAAACAGATCTACATCTATGTGTAAATAATATGCACATGAAGAAACAATATTTGTGACTGATAATCTGTTACAAGTGTTTTGACTTATTCCCTCTTCTGTCTTTTTTTTATTTTGTTGTGAAGCTCTTCATCGGTTTGGCTTCCCCTATGAAGGTCCCGCCCCTTTGGAGGCCATAGCCAACGGCTGCGTCTTCCTCCAGCCCAAGTTCAGCCCCCCTCACAGCTCGCTGAATCACGAGTTCTTCAGAGGAAGCCCACCTCCAGGAAGGTAGGCGCGCGTGTCTCTGACATCAGTCGATTCCTTTTAGGAAAATTTAAAAAAAAAAATACAAATTTTGCAGGAATGATTTCACAACATCAGATATTGACCTCTATTTCTGTTTCACATGCTGGTGAATAAATCCCACATATCCCCCCCTCAGTGTCCTCTCAGCACCCGTATGCAGAGCAGTACATCGGCAGGCCGCATGTCGTCACTATCGACTTCAACAACTCTGAGGACTTTGATTCAACCATCCGGGAGATCATGAGGAGCAACGTATGTTTTGCTGTTGTGTTCTTATTTGCACTCTTGCTTGTGGTGCAGCAGATCACAGTTACACTAAACCCCGAGCTGATACTTGTTTGCACGAACGCAGACACAGAATTTAAACGGAGAAAGTCAAAGAAACCTTACACGCTGAAATATCAACAATATTTTGTGTGAAATTCTGCAAAAAACATTTGTAAAAATATTAATTGAAGTCTGTATTGTCTTCTTGTTGGTGCAGTGGTTCTCCATGCACTACTTAAACGATGCCTTCTTGTCACTTCTCAGGGATTAAGCGGCAGTACATTTCTTTTATAATGATACATTTCCTGTCGATCTGTGGATCCTGTTCAGCCTGAACTGTGGGGTCAGGGGGGGGCGATCGAATCGGCTCAAGTGTAATCTGTTTCAACACTTCCTCTAAACCTTTGAAGCTGCAGCTTTATGATAGTAATGATAATTATTTGCTTTTTTGCAGACTTCAAAGTTTTTTCTGACCCACTTACTCAGCCATAAGCCTTTAATAGAGCTCTAAATCAACGGCATCCGACATTACAGAGCAAAATGCTTAGCTGGCTCCCCCCCCCGCTCCGCTCACCGCTAATTACTGTAGATATTGAGCGGCTCAGCAGGTAAACCGTGCCCACACCTGGGATCACATGGCGGTGTTCCAGAGGCCCTGGCCCACAGAGAGGAAGCACTACCCACAGCAGATCATGTTAATCAATCGTGCTGTGCTCAATCTGTCACCAGAACAACGCTGCGCCACAGTGCCAGGATGTGGTGTGTGTGTGTGTGTGTGTACCGCCTGGTGTGTTGCATACACCTCATGTTTCGGGCTGATAGAGTAGCAGTCGTGGCACTGGTTAATATTTAACAAGTGCACACCACATTAAAATAATGAAATGAAACTAAAAGTACATTCTGGGCGTCGGGTAGCCGTGTGGTTGTGTTGCACGCCCCTTGTTCATGGGCTCAAGGTCCAGTCCGACCTCTGACCTTTGTCTAATCTACCTTTGCATCTAATCCCCCAATCTCTCCTCCCAACACTTCTTGTTTCTCCTCATCTTTCTCATTAAGGAAAATGTCCCAAAAATAACTTTTATTTACGTTTATTTTCCGACATTCAAAAAAAAATGCAGTTCCTCAAGTGTCCACTAGGGGCTGTTTCCAATTACCACAATGCAGCTTAAACTGTGGGCTTTCTTTGTCTTGCTAGCTAGTTGACGTGTCAGATGGTCGTGTTTCATCCTTACTCCAAACGCGTTCTTTGATTCATGTTTATTTGTCTTGTTGATGCTCATGTTTGTTATTTTGTTGTCCTTCTCTCTGTGAGCTCCCGAGCTGCCTCTCTGTCTGAAACTCTCTAATGTCAGATTTTACTGGCACCATAGCAAACCGTCATAATGGAAATCAGGGGAAGCTTAAAAAAAAAAAAATGTACTCAAATGTCGTTCACTCCTTCCTGATCGTAGTTGCCTCAAGCTGGGTTGTTGGGTGCAGCTTTCTGGACTCGAGTGCTTCCAGTGGAACTCTGCACTGGGATTCTTTTTTTATTTCATGTCATCACTGACTGCAGGAAGTAATGAATGTTTCTCACATTTGTTTTTGTGTCAGAGTAATGCAATCAGTTTAGGTTTATAAATCGCACAGTCGATTCAGAAAATGTTTTCTCCTTCTGAATTCAAATCGCCCTCTATGAAGTATATTCTCCCTCTCTCTCTCTCTCTCTCTCTGATTCTATTATATAAAAGATGCCCAAAAGGCAAATTGCATTGGGGAATGGCTGATGAAGTGCCAGATACATTTCATTAAACTCAGATGAAATAAAGTAATAAGCGAGTGCTAAAAGGAACACAACACTAAAAGAAACCATTTATCAGTTTAAGAGCCTGAGTGCTTTAGTGGCCTGATGGTAAACAATGAGATCTCACTTCAGCCGGGGACCACGGGAGATGTTCAGAGGGGGATTCTGCACTTTGAATCCTCACAGAATCTGTCACCATCGGTCCTGTAAATACCCGGGAATTTCCATGATTCCTGGCAGTTGATGGCAGGTGTCTGGCCTGGCTTGCCTCCCTCAACGATCCATTTGGATGAAACCACAGACCATTCATACTGCTATGTTAGAATAGATAATAATAATAATGGGTTTCCTGGATCAGGGTCACCATCTAACCGGCGGCCGCCCCCCGGACAGCACTGGCACCTGAAAAGAAACTGCAGACACTTTGAGGTTCTGCCGGTTTCAATACAGATGACTTTAAAATGTGCTGTTCTGTCCGAGGCTGATCCAGAACCAGAAGCCCTTTGTGATGTGTTGCTACATACATTGAGTCATCTTCCAGTCTCTCTTGAAGAACAGCACAGGGGTCAGAGGCTTTTATTCATCATGAAAAATAGTAAAGCCAGATATGAATAAGTTATGTTGCACATGGCACGATAAGTGAGGCTACAAGAACAGAGCAGGTAGAAAAGAGCTCCTCTGTGGGGAGAAAAGGGTTCTTTGAAAGGAGATGAAACTATCAATCAGTCCTCTCAGTAAACCTGAATGAAGTGTTTTGTTTTGTTTTAATTAATGCTTTGTGAAAGAGGGGCAGATATTATGAGATTAGTCTTCTTTCTGCTCCTTTTCCTTCAAAATTTGAGATTTTATGTTTGTTTGTTTTTCTTAACTTTGTTGTTTATTTGAATGAAATAAAATAAAATAATCCATCACCTGCCTTTCAAAAGTCACACTCTGGGTGACAGGCGTCATGTGGGACACCTTAAGGATCCTGAATGCACCCTCCTCGGTACCCGCTGACCACTGGTCCTCTCGTCGGCTCACTCCATTGTTTCAACACATTGATGGAGTCATCACTAAAAAAAAAAATAATGAAATCAATTCTCAGAGCTGTCACCTGTGATGCATGAGGTCATTGATTTTAATGTGAGGCTCGTGGCATGATATAAGCCCTTCACAATTACGCTAATGAACATGTCAGCTGTGATTAACTAGCAGGTTTTTATTTCCTGTAATTACAATGGCCTGCCTTTGTGGACACACACCCCCACCCTTCCCCTCCTTTCCCTTTCTATTCTTCATTTTATTAATCTGTGTTGGCAGGTGGAGCCGTTCCTGCCTTACGAGTACACCTGTGAAGGGATGCTGGAAAGAGTCAACGCCTACATTCAGAACCAGGTGGGTCTCAGCCAGGACTGAAGCACATGAGCGGGCGTGCTGGATGGCGTCGTTATGAGGTGACAGAAGTTATTTGCCGCTGCGTATGTTCCCTCCCGGCTGATTAGGTCGCTCATAGTTTTGGGGGGAACATCAGTGCGTGAACCACGAGATTAATTTTGTGGCTCAATTTACTGTGACTCCCGCCGCTGGTGAGGCCCCTCGAGTATCCTGAGTTAATAATGACAGAGCAGAGCAGTTATTTATGACTGAAGCTGTGATTGGTTTATACATATTACAGCTGAAATATAATGAGGTCATAATGCTGGAAATTAGAGGAACAAACAACCGACTCAGAATTTATTAGGGGACTCTGTGACGGGACAGCAGAAGACTCAAAAATGAATTGAAGAGTTTCTCTTTGTTTGTTTCATCATGCAGCCTGCTGCTGAGGATGACTCTGAATCTGTAAGTTAAATGTAAAGGTAGCACAAGCAAGGTGTTGTATCTTTGTAGACGAAGACATCTTGGGGCCTGCCGAACGACTCGAGCAACACATTCTGAATGCCTGATGGAAAAGGAATACTTCAATAAGTTGTGATCATTAGACCAGGACTGCTAAAGTTGCATTAAAGCAACAATATGTAGAAACTTTGTTTGGTGCTTTTTGCTGCACACCGAAGGACTCTGCATAGATAGATAGACTTTATTGTCTGTCCCAACAGAGACAGAAATTCTCCTTTATAATAGTAATAATTAAGTTTATTTATAAAGCACTTATCAAAACCAACGTCACAAAGTGCTTTACAGAAAAAAGAAAAAAAAAATCCCAACAGTCAAATACACAACAATAAAATCCTATTAAAAAAGCATGAAAAATAAAACAACAGTGCAGCAATCATCCAATGAACAGAGAAAAGAGAAACAACCGAGACAAAGATTAGCTAAAGTTAACAGTAAAACAAATAAAAACATCATGAAACAAGGATTAGAAGAAGGCCTTACCATAAAAATGTGTTTTTGACAAGGCTCGAACAATAAACACAACTTACATTAAAAACAGAAAGTGCAGTACATTCAAAGAGGACTTACAAACAACTGTTTCTAAAAAGGGGTTCTGTTTGATTTTGTTCAGAATGGTTATTGCAGAGGGAATGAAGGATTTTTTTGTAGATGTTTTTCGGGGCCAGAGGGACTTTGTAGCGTCTGCCTGATGGCAGTAACTAGAAGGAGTGGTGGAGGGGTGAGAGGGTAGTTTGTGGTGAACCGATCATTTTGCTGGCCTGATTAAAGATGCGGGAGAGTTTTTTTTTTGTGTTTGGTGGTGAGGGAGTTGAACCAGGATGAGATGTTAAAAGTGAGGATGGATTCAGTGATTGAGTTAAAATATGTTTGCTGACATGAAAGGTCCTTAGTTTCCTCGTCAGGTGGAGTCTCTGTCTCAGGTCTCAAAGGTTTGATACTCCTACGACGACGAGCTTTTGTTGACAATTAGAAGGTTTTCTTTTTCCTTCTTCTTTGATGCAAAGTGAGCTTCCTTAAAAAATGTGCCAATATTCATCATGCATGTGCTCGATAGCAAACAATACAAGAATACACACACAAAAAATACTAGTCCAGCACAACAGACACACACGTGGTTCTGGCAATTTAAATTACTCTCTCACACACACACACACTCACTCACTCACTCACTCACTCACTCACTCACTCACTCACTCACTCACTCACTCACTCACTCACTCACTCACTCACACACACACACTACTCAGCGACAAAAACAAACTTCTCTTCTTCATTTTCCAAAAGTCCAACACAACATGCTCTCTGCCAGCGAGGTGTGTGTGTGTGTGTGTGTGTGTGTGTGTGTGTGTGTGTGTGTGTGCTCCTGCAGAGAGAGAGAAGGGAGAGCAATCAGCAAACAGATAAACCTGTGCCAATTAACTCAGTTCTGTTCCCCCGAGCCCCTCCCACACATCTCTCTCCTCACACCACTGCCCCCAAAAGAGAGCAAAACTTTAAAGCAGATAGTCCACATACGATATCAGCCGACACATGCAGAACTTGAACATTTTCATACTTTATTCAGTTCTTCTAGTGACCCTGACTGTTTTATTCTCTAGGTTAAATGCACAGTGCTTCATTTATTTCATCCTGTGCTCGGAGGCATTTAGAAAAAGGTTTTCACAGATTCACATTTTCGGATGGATGATCGCTTCAAATCAAAAAACACCAATCAGATTTTTGAAGATCTGCTCTTCTCATTTCAGCTGAAGTGCTGAAATTCTATTTAGGAAATCTCCATTCTGGGATTTCTCTGCTGCTTGGCCTCAGTATTTATACCTCTACGGCTCTGCCAGATATTAAATTCTTTGCAGGCGGCAGCTGCAAAGTTAATCGACGAGCACTAATTTTCCTCAATGGTGGTCCTTGAGAATGTGGAAAAAAATGTTTCTACATAAAAATGGACTTGTTAGTTGTGATTTTTTTCTCACAGTTAAATGGAATTACTCAGTCATCAAGATCCATTGTTGCTGCGCGGTTTAGTGTGGGAGTCGTACAGGATGCTGTGTGTTTGGATACATTCTCGTCCTTTTGGTGAATCCATCTTGTTGTGTAATTGGTGTTGTGTTTTGCAGTGGCAGGTTAAGGAAGTGTGTAAGCCTCTGTGCTGTTCTCACAGCTTCTATTCCCCCTGCTGCCACACACACACACACACACACACACACACACACACACACACACACACACACACACACACACACACACACACACACACACACACGCTCAATGTGCCGTGACCGACCGAGGCTGTGACTGCTCGTCTCTCAGAGAGTCTAAGGTCAGACTCTCAATCAGATCCCCCCCTCTCTTTTTTCTCTTTTCTTTCCTCCTTTTCTTAACCTTCTCTCTGCCCGTGTCAGACTTTTTCCACTTTTATTTCCAACTTCTCAAATCACTTGTGACTTGATCTTATTTTCCTTTGACCGACTCTCTCGTCCTCCCCCACAGTAACTTCCTCCCACCTCTCCATCCACAAAAAAACACACTTGGTGGTTGTGGCAGCTCTGTGTCTTCCTTTATTAACAGACACTATCGCTTGTCCTATTATTTCTGGATTCACTGCATCCCTATAATTTAGGAGAGAGTATTCAAGTGAAAAATCAGTTTGACTGACATTTCTAATATAGCACCAGGGACACACACGACGGGGAGTTTTTCTTTTCAGACAGTTCATAAGGAAGGGACAGAGGCGTTTGTGAACTCCAGAGGCAGCGCAGTCATTTATATTAATACAAACTGTCGTGGGAATAAACATTTTTTCCCTCCTGAAAACTGAGATTTATGATGAAGGAAATAAGTTGATGTATACGTTCCTGCAGGCCGTTCACACATAACAGAAGCTGAAATGAATGAGGGCTGAGTTTCATTTAGTTGCCTCAGTTTCAGGACTCTGGTTATAAACATTCAGACTTACTAGGACACCAGAATAAATCAGAAATAATGTGAAAGTTTTCAGACACACCTGTGAGTAGTCTGTACCAGTGTTGTAGTAAAGACCACACTAACCGAGACCAAGACGTACCCGAGACCAGAGTGCTCCAAGACCAAGACCAAGACCAAGACCAAGACCAAGACATTTAGGGATCGAGACAGAGTCAAGACCAAGACATACCCGAGACCAGAGAGAGTTTGGAGACCCCCAGTCTGAGACCTAGACAAGACCAAGTCCAGAGAGCACCAAGACCAAGACCAAGACATTTAGGGATTGAGACCGAGTCAAGACCAAGACCAAGACCAAGTCAGGGCGAGACCGAGATGAGACAATAAATATCAAAAACACGGAGAAGGTTGCGGTCGTAACCAGGGGATAAAAACAAATTCTGAATTGAAGTTATTTGTTTTTTAGAAAGAGGCGTTTCCCTTCTTATCACAGTAATGACCTGGAAAAAGAACCTTTCAGTGGCCCAGTCCGCCCAGTCCGCCCAGTCCGCCCAGTCTGAGACCTGCAAAAGTGGTCTCGAGATCGGTCTCGAGTGCTACAACACAAGTTTGTTCTGATTTGGACATAGCATGAGAACAAATGTGAGATCCACAGAATGCTAAAAAAATACTTGGATGAGATCTACAAATATGCATCGGAGCATTCTTTCTCACTTACTGTTTCCCACAATGCAAAGCCAGATGTCAGATTGTAAGTGGAGGCTAGCGTTTGTCGTCAGCTTGACTTCCTCATTGTAAGACCAGAAACCAGCTGAGCCTGGCATACTGCAAAACGACCACCGAAACCGCCACAGACTGGATACAAAGAAGGACGAAAAGACAGCTTCCCGAGACATTTTGGAGCTCCCCCTACTGGCTGGCCGCAGTATACTGCATGTCACATTTGGCTCTATTTTAGTACAACGGGAGGAGGAGTTGGAGATGCGTCATCACAGTGACTTATTGGTGAATTTGTCCACTGATTATCTGTTAACATAGCTCCTTCAGTAACTTATAATGTTGTTGATTTCATGCGTGTGTGTGTGTGTGTGTCAGAGCGCTTGTCTGCTTGTAGTCGTGCAGTAGTTGCAGCAGGAGATGGAGAGATTGGAAGCCTGCTTATTGCCTGCGGGCGCTCGGAGCCTGTTTAATAAACGGGTCTGGAGGCCAGTGGGATATGTCAGAGAAATGTTATTACCCAGGTCTTATGAAAAGCCTCAGCTGGAGGGGGAATCTAATCAGGCCTCTCACCAGAGCCTAATTCTGCCTCCGGTCCTCATTTGTTATTGGGTGGGCATAACTGCGTTTGTATCTTTTCCTGGATGATTGACGAGGAACTGTCAGCTCTGATAAGCAGCTCTGGACTGAAACTGTTTCTTTTTTAGTATTTCCTTGTATGTGTGGCAGAGCTTGAACGTACAATTTGAAACTGATGTAAGGTGGAAAAAATGGTGGTTTATGTAAGCTGACAGGTCAAGCGTTTTGCAGGATAACACTTGAACATATTTCTGATCTGGGTTGTTTCATCTTTTGCACCTGCAGGACTTCTGCTCCCCCGAAGCTCCGTTTCCTCCCGTAAACTCCTCTTGGCTCGGCAGTCCTCCCACTCCTTTCATCCTGCAGCAGCACAACTCCAGCATCCTCACCTGGGCCTCCAACGCCAGCGCCTACACATCCTGGCCGCCCCTCAGTGCGCTGAGGCTGCTGGCTTCACTGGAGGGCCAGTCCTGCGTGAAGGCGTGCCAGAGCGCCGGACTCATCTGCGAGCCCGCCTTGTATCGATTCATCAACATAAAGGAGGCCTTCAGCGCGTAAGGCGTTTCTTTCTAGTTTAATAACTTGTTTAGTCAATGCTATGTGTAGTTAGGCGGAACCAGAGAGTGGAGAAGAACATACTTGAGAACAGAAAACGTTTAAATTACATGCTTGGAGATCGTACCGGTGGCGTGCAGACAGTCTATGGTCGTGCAGCGATCACAGGGAATAAACGTCCCCAAGCCCCTCCCACTCGCTCCAGGTGAATTCTCCTGATTATGTCCTGCTGTGTTCGCACATCAGCTCACTCAGACTTGGCTGAAACGTAAACATACAGAGCTTTTATTTTGAAGTTGCAAAGTTCATTCTTCCTGTTTCCTGCTCCAAAAAAAAAAAAAAACCCAGTAAATGTTGTTACTGTGTCGATGTTTACCAAATATTTATAAATATAAGAATCATTTTGTTTGTCAAAGCGTAACCTTAAATCCTCCTGAACTTAACAAAATAAAAGTCTTTATTTACTGTGAAGAGAATTGAATAATGTGACATTTTGTGTTCACACATGCAGCTCACAGTTTTGTGGAAGTAGGAAAGTATTAAAGAAAAGTAACACCGGATGTTACCAGCAAATTATTTCCCCGTTGATTGAACAGAAAATTAAATTTAAACTAGTTGACTTCTCCAAAGGGAAGAAAAATAATGAATCTCTGCCTTTGAATCACTTAGTGACATGAGTGCATTACTCTGCAGGTAAACAATGCCACATTAGTTTGCTTAGTGTGGCTAACGTTAGCAGTGCTAGCACACCAGCCTGGTTATCGTCCACACGCCCCCCCCCCCCCCCCCCCCCCGTGCTGAGCGTGGTGACACATGGCTCCAGTTTCGTGGTTATATGCCTGATTATCTGCTCTGCTCCTACGAGATGCCATCCGTCCGCTCTGCTGGTTTAAAGGTAAAGGAGGACCGTCAACTATAAAATATTTCCACTGGGTCAGACGCAGCGATCTGCAGTGTGCAGCTTAGAACATATTCACAGTTAGATGTACATTTGACGGTCAACAGGAAGTGTGATGACAGTTTTTGTCAGAAAAAACTTGTTGTGAATAAAAAGGACGACATCAGCAAAGAGAAAATACTTTTTCGAAACAGATCATCAAAATCTACTTTCACCCAAACTTTCCTCACAGCAGCTTCAAAAACCAAATAAAAGGGAAAGATACCTTCTTGTCTAGTGCACCATTTCTTTCATGACTTTTTCATGAAATGCCTCATCTGGACCTTCGGAAAATAAGACTCTCTGCATCGTAATGAGCTTTCTTTATTCCCCTCTTACAATAAATTTGAATAGCTAAGTTTCCCTCCAGACAGAGTATCGTGCCTCATTTGATAGTTTTCAAAATTATGCAGTTGTGAAGAAGTACAGGAGGAGACACGAGCTCACCCTCTCCCTGGAAATATTTCCCCTTCATTCTCTGAGGTGCTCAAGGCTACACTGTACCATAAATATTAATTATATAGGTGGAATAATCATTGATACCCTGCGGCCGCCCGTCTAACATTCATATATTACACATGTAGTTGTGCTGAATGAGTGGGAAAAAGGGATTAATGATCTTCTTTATGCATGAAATACTGAGCAGTTCTTCACTCTGTGTCGTCCTCCAGGTTGGACTTTCAGTGCGAGGGTCTGGAGTCAGAGATGAACCACCTCTTCCCGGCCTTCTCAGCCGAGCACGCTGAGTGTGGCCTGCAGCAGGATCCGTTACTGTTCAGCTGTGCCGGCTCGAGCTCCAAATACCAGCGCCTCTGCCCCTGCAGGGACTATCTTAGCGGGCAGGTGGCGCTGTGCAGAGACTGCCTATGACCAGAGGAGGTATAGAGACTCTTCTCTTAAAAAAAAGCTGGAGAGGTCCAGGCTGCACCTTGAAGACTCCCTCTGCAAAGGGAAGAAGTGCTGGGACACGCTGAACACAGAGACTCTGCTCCTTACCTCTGACCACAGAGCGGCGGCCAAAAAGGTAAAAACGGTTTTACCTCTCAGGAACTGCATGATTGTACTTCTTGAATCTGGAGAGTTTGAGCCGGTGAGGTTTTGAAAATCGACGTGGCTGCATCAGTAAAATTTGCAGCCATTTTGAAAAAATGTGTCATTGTTGGATTTAGAACGATCCAAAGAGGAAATCTTTTGATCAAACATGTTACAAATGCTTGAAGTTCACAAGTGTGTTTACTCAGTGTTGTGTGGAAACCTACAGTATCATCGTGGAGTTTGATATTTGTACTAGATGCACCCAAAGCCATTTACACCATGATGAGATGTACTATTTTACATGTCCTGTAATGAATATATTTGTACATTAGTGTTGTTTAATAAAAACACTGGAGGAAAAACAAGTGTGACCTGTTATTCATGTGAGGAAATTACTTTTAAAAAATGAATGCTCAGTTAACTTATAAGACGTCATCAATCTTTTATGCTCAATTTCTCGAAGCCCAGAGCGGAAATATCCTAATTACTTCTTCCAGTGTGTGATTTATAAGCAAACAGAAGCTGTCTCACACTCATTAGTTTATAAAGAAGTGTTTGGCTGATGGACTGTGCTTTGAAATTAAAGGAACAACAGTGTTGGCTCTCAGGAAATAAATGCTCGGCGCTCCCTCGTTGCTCTAAACGAAGCCGATATGTGTGAGTAGCACTGAAGCTCTCGTTGTGTTTTTCAGCACAAGTGTGTTAGCAAACAAGTGAAAAATGTAATGTAGAAATTAGAATCCATATTCAGAACTGATCTCAAGGCTGTCATTTCATTCATTGTCAAGACTAGAGCACCATCTCTAGTTATTCAGAGCAGTTGTTCATCTTTTTCCTTTGGAGTCTCAGAGTTAAGCTTTAAGTGGCTAACACACAACAAAGTCAAAGTTTGAAGTTTGTAACAATAAAAACATTAGAGCACATCCACAGGTCAGTTTGGTGTTTAAACCCCACTTCAGCTATATTTCTGTGTATTTCCCTTTTCTTTTCTTTTGACTGTTTTAACTCCTAAATGAAATCTGAGCAGCACATTCAGAGCGGTTGAAATTTTTTTATTTTTTTATACACACATACGGACGTTAAATCTGCACCGAGATGCTGCGATGTCGCTGAAGTCATTACGAGGAGAGAGCTGCTGCTCCAGTGAAGCCGAAGCCCTCCGTTAAGATAAGAGGATTTTAATGAGACATCCTCAAAAAGACAGAGTTGGAATTTGCCAGTTTTTCATTTAATGATGCTGGTGCTGGTGTCTCTTTGACTGATAGTAAGGACCATTACACTATATGCTCATTTCTGCTCTCCAGTATATAATCTCTGGACTAATATTGAACTTTCTCCTGATCCACACAAACCACATGCAGGGATGTATATAAATGTATGTAGTGTGTGTATTTGTTGGCAGCAGTCAGGAAGGATTGGACTGAGTGGTGAACAAAAACCCCCAGAGGCTTAAAGCTAAAATTGAAAAAAAGGAATATAAGAATACCAAATCAGAGTTTTTCTGATTTGGTATTCTTTTCCCAGGCTGAACCTGCAGAGCTGCTCCCTCACTTTAGCACTTTTCTTAAAGTCTTTATTTGTGATTTTTCACACTTAAATGTAGAAATCAAGTCTATCCTCTGAAAATAACTCTGTGAGTCATGACTGTCTACAATGGGTGTAACACCCGAGTCCCACTGTCTGTGATGTTTTCAGAGTCCTATCTTCACTTTGTTTACATCGCCCGGATGGCCGGCTGACTCCTCCCCTCGTGTATAAAAGTTGTTTAATTGAGGGACTAGAGAAAAGAAGAATAACATACTGTACTCACTGCTTAACTGTGTTTCTAGATCACGCTCATTTCAGGTAAATTTACATGCAGTGTGAAGATACCAGCATAATAAAGATCGCTAGCATTAGCATGCTAACACAACAATGCAGCGCAAGTTGTTTTGGTTTCATGCTGGTGCTCAAGGGCGACATCTGCTGGATCAAAAAATCACATATAAAGCCTTTAATAAGGTGCACAGACAAAAAAGGGGACAACCTCTATCTTTGCTTTTGGAAAATGTTACCTAGAAAGTGACATTAATGTCTCTTTAAAAGAAATTGTGTGCGAGAGTGACTGGAGTTCAGAGCAAAGCTGGGACTATTTCTGGGGTGAGTTTAAGTTGGAGAGAAGTTTCTTAAAGAAGCTCTTCTATCTCAACAGCTGTGGACTGCACTGCATCACACATAAAGATTCCCTTGCAACACATTTCACACACTTATATTTTAAGATTCATTCTATGGAGACGTTGTGCAAAGTGTGACACCCTCTGAAAACCACACTCACATAAGAGGCAAAAGAAAAGATGCAGAAACTAACCTGACTCTTCTCTTTGAGGTACAATTTCAAAGTCTAGACATGCTGCTAATGCCTGGACACGATTCATTTATGTAGTTTTCATGTTTTCTTGGTGATACTTCCCTGAATAAAGGAACACATTGAGCATGAGGAGTTACTTAAAACAGACAAACAGATCAGAAGTTAAATCACATCACTGTGGCTCAGTTTGTTTCTTAATCGGAAGGTTCAGGGGTTCGATCCCCTGCGTCCACATGTCCGATGTGTCTGCAGGAGCTGGGTGATGATAATACTCATGGACACTTTACATAGGAAGCTCTGACATCATCGTGTGAATCTTGGACAAAAATGTCTTAAAGAACAAGAAAGCTGAAGTTTGTAAAAGATGTTTCTGTACATCGTAATAACTCACATGACTGTAGAGTCCAAGCTCAAATGAATTATTGGATGTGTAAAAGTTCAAATAAAAAAAGGATGCAGCAGCAGATCGACCCTCACATGCCGTGTGTGTGTGTGTGTGTGTTAGTGAAACAGTGACTTCTCCATTCAGCCCACTCCCGGGATTCAAGGCCACGGTTTATAAAAAACGAGAGGTTACACAGACAAGGATTGATGTTTCTCTCCTGCCTCACTCTCACCTCTCCGATGCTCCATCTGCTGCCGTCCTCTCTGTCTGTCTCTCTCTTTTTTTTTATATCTGAATCTTCACCTGATCTGCTCAAGCTGGAAAAGTGATTTAATCACTGCTATTGAAGCTGTAACAACTTAACCCTGACCTCTCACCTTTCCCTTTTATTGGATTCTTAAGACGTTTCTTAACAATAGCCTCTCTTGTCTTGTTTTGGTTTGGAGAGTGGAAACCGGCTGTCTTCTCCTCGCTGCCTCGGCAGAGTAGATGCATCTCAAATTGTCTGTGTGGTCTGCGTGTGTGTGTGTGTGTGTGTGTGTGTGTGCGTGTGTGTGTGTGTGTGTTCATTCCCCCGTAATAATAGGTGTCTGAATAACTGTCCCTCCCATTGAATTCACTAAATGGAGTGTGTCTGTTATGACTAAATAACTGCAGAATGAAAAACAAATTAGTCAATTTGAGAGACCTTTTCATCAGAATAAATTGTTGTGCTCGCAGTTCCCTGAGAGAATAAATCGAAGCTGTAGTTATACTAGTCAAAGCAGCTAACCACCACAACAGAAAACATTGATGAATCATTGATGGATCTTTTCTGTGCCTACTCGTTGCTCTTTGTCTCGTTTCTGCCTCCTTTTTTCAGCTTCTTCTTCTTCAAATGCAAAAGTGCAAACAGCTGTGAAAGGCTTCAGATCACCCTTGTTTTCGTATCCCTTCACTCTGGGAAATCACGTTCTCGTAATTGCATTTTTCCCTCATTATGCAGATTAATTGGATGGCTTGTAAATGCATCTTTTGTGCTTTTTCGTACCCCAAGCGTCAATTAAGAACCCACTCGACTGAGTTGTGCGGAGATGTGTACGCCCTGACTCCAACATTTAACAGCTTTATGTGATTGCACTTAGAATATTAGTGATATCAATGGGCTCCTGCTTCAGATCATTTGCTTTGTTGTTTTGCAGGAAGTGGACGTAAATATAGCACTGTTCATGCTCGTTATTCAGAGAACACACACACCACATTTCAAAGACATCGCTTGATTTAAAATGTCAGTAGTTATTATCTAATTTAAAGGCTTTATATGCTATTTCTTGATCTAGAAGATGTCGCCCTTGAGCACCAGCATGAAACCAAAACAACTTGCGCTGCATTGTTGTGTTAGCATGCTAATGCTAGCGCTCTTTATTATGCTGGTATCTTCACACTGCATGTAAATTTACCTGAAATGAGCGTGATCTAGAAACACAGTTAAGCAGTGAGTACAGTATGTTATTCTTCTTTTCTCTAGTCCCTCAATTAAACAACTTTTATACACGAGGGGAGGAGTCAGCCGGCCGTCCTGGCGATGTAAACAAACTGAAGATAGGACTCTGAAAACATCACAGACAGTGGGACTCGGGTGTTACACCCATTGTAGACAGTCATGACTCACAGAGTTATTTTCAGAGGAGAGACTTGATTTCTATATTTAAGTGTGAAAAATCACATAGAAAGACTTTAAGTATCGAATGTCAAAGAAGCAAAAACCTAAATGAAGCTCATTTTGACGCACATTTCTTTGTTAGGTCGAGTATGTATGTGCGGGTCCTTGTAGCTGGACTAAGTCAGAAAAAAAAACATCAGACAAAATGCTCATGTTGGATGTGCAAATCCATTTAATAATTCAAAAGGTTCAAAAGATTTATGAAGAATAAACTACAAGCTCTCGTATTAAGTTGCCATGGTGCAATGGTTTTTGATTCCTAGATAATACATTTTTTATTCTGACAGAGATATGGCCTCCACTTCTTCTGCAGCATTTTTCCCTCTTATGGTGAGCTGGTACATTTCACATGAGACCTTCTGCTGCATGTATGTGTTGCCTCAGTATTGCAAGTCCTGAGGGGAAAGTCTAAAGCACAACGATGAAGTCAAGAGGCCGCTCTACAGTCAGTCTGGATGTCTGTTGCAGAGCCAGCACCATGACATCTGTCCCACAGCTGTCTCACTGTGAGCCACTTGCACAATCACAAAGGCCAATCCATTAC